TGATCATTACCAGTGGTCAGAGACAGAGTGATGTGGCCGAGTGTCGTAAACAACGGCGTTCGTGCATCCTCTGAATTTCTTTACAATCTTAGTCTACTGAAATTCTCCATTTTCTCTTCTACTCTACTCTCAACCTTCTGCCTTTCTACTATTCATCCAAATAGGCCAACAAAAAATGGCAACCAAAAGGGGCGACCGGTTAATGGTTGTACAAACTGATTCACCGAAAAGTCGTCTGCGACAAACTCAAGTAGGAATTGAACACCAATACTAATTTCAAAAAAAAGCATAGACTGTACATTCTTCTGGTTTATTTCTTTGATAGAAACAGAACTAGCGAAGCCTCTGTGGTTGAATGCTCTATTCAAGGTGAACTAAGAGCGACACCATATGTTATTTTACATCACTGCTGCCTTGTAGTCCGTGCTCAGTTGCGCAAAGTCTGGTGTATCCTCGAATTAGGCCTACTCTGGAAGCGGCAACCCAGTGATATAACAGCCCACAACGAACTTTCATGCTCTTGTGACTCCACACTCCAAAGCTTCCTCATTCAGCGAAAAAACCTTATACCGTACACACGATTACCGAGTTTGCCCCGACTTCAACTTTACCCTCCTTCACATACCTCCCTCTCTCTCGGGTTCTTCAGACGATCGTACTAACAGTAGTACCTCGCGTGTAAATTCTGCCGCTCTCTCGTGTCCTATTTCGGCTAACATCCAAGTCTCACCGAATACTCTACCAGCTGAAGCCCTTCTTCGTCCTCGCTATCCGTTCAAACTATCCACGTTTAACGTGCGTATTCCGATATGTATCGGACAACAGGCGTGTTTAGCTCGTACGCTCGGGGCCCTCGCCATCGGTGTGTTGTAGCCAGGAGACCCACATTCAAGACTACAGCTGCATTATCCGAATGAGGACCCGCATCAAACTCACCTGTGGAATTTCACTTATGCCTCTCTGGAGTCCTATGAGGCTGTGGCTTCTGGTCTTGCTGGCGTTGATGTGGCTCTCAGTTAGAGCTGAAGTCGCGCTTCCGGATTGGATCCCATTCGACAGTAGGCTGGTCGCGGTGAGAGTCTGAGGTTCATGGAAAGTCATCAAACGTCTTCCCGATGAACGAAAGCCGTTTGTCTTATCGGCGTACGCTTCAACGATGCAAAGATGAATTTTGACAAAAATCACACGAACTCCTGTGCAAAGCTGATATCACGATCTTAGCAGAACAGATGAATGCCAGAATAGGCTGGTTGACCCCGAGTGAGACGTATCTGCCAGGTCAATTCGGACTAGATTCCTGTCATTGGGATAAAAGAGAACGCCTGTGGGCTCTATACTCTGACCACTGCCTGCACGTTACTTGGTGCCCGCTCTCCTCGAATCAGCGACGGATGCAGGTCGACCACACTGCTAAGACACAAATGGCGGGATTGCTAAGAGACGGCCGATCGTACCGGAGCACTCCCTCGATCCCCTTCCCGAATAAGTATGCATCAAGCTGACCACGTGCTTCGGTGGGCGTTCCAAACGATCGACACGACGGTTAGTGTGATCAGTTAACTGAACCAGCACGTGTCTTTCACAACGGGCTAACTGAAAATCTGAGACCAACACTGGTCGCTTACCAAGAATGCTCTACATTCTGTTAGCTTAGTTGTGGTCCGACGAACTGACGCGACACCCTAGAACTCTGTGCAGTCTTTACGCCTTCTGGACACACGCTGAACGATCCCGACCGGCAGTGAGCATAAAAAAATACGACACGCAACGAGTCGTAACCTCAACGCAAGCCTGCGCAGAAACCACGAGATCTCGTGCACTCAACGCCCATTGGATACGGAACGCGCTGCCACCATGGAAAGTTCCCCCAAGCTTTTCCATCTCATCCGGATCGCTTTGGGTGGGAGCGAAACAACCTACGATGTTGAGGGCTCACCCATTCATAATAAAAAACGGTATCTTGCACACTGGGCGCGGCATTTCGAGGCACAGTTTAGCTGGCTAATAGCGTTGGCTTCTCACACAGCTATCCCAGCACATGTCGCATGGTCTGTGTAAACAGAACGTCTTACGGCGGAAATCCTTAGGGAGATTCAAGCCTTTGAACGTCACAAATCACCGGGCTTCGACGGCCTTCTTCCAACTCTATCTAAAGACGGTAGAACAAAGCTTGAGAGAATTGATGGTCCCCTCCACGTAGGGGGAGAATCGATTGTCGTTCTGATCTTTAAGAGCGACCCAAGCAGTGATTGCGCCAATCACTGAGTTATAAACCTCATTCCAACAGAGTCAAAGCCGATTGCGAACTATGCGTAATGAGCAGGCTGGGTTTTGGGCCGGCGAATGCAACGATCAAATCTTCACCCTCCGACAGCTGCTAAGGAACCGTCTCGCCTACGCCAAAGACCAACGATCATTGTTATTGGACATTGGACCACCGTTCACTTTGCTCAACCGTCATGTTGTTATTCTTATTGTTGCGTTAGCCCGCAGGCAAGCCGAGAAGTTTGGTGTGGCTTACTGAATAGCACCCGGTGGGTTAGGTGTGGTTTTGAGCCGAGGGCTACTTATCATCAAATCCTTAAAAAAAAATACGTCGTCCAATAGTAGCTCCCTTAGAAAATGGAGTTTAGTACGTTGGACTACCTATGAGATGGATTTCATGATCATCACATCTTCGAAACAAGAGCAGAGACGAACACCCAAGAACTCTAAATCAACGATTGTGGAGAAGGAACAGTGAAAGCTGAGGTACACTGATTCGCGAAAAAATGGAGGCATTAGTGTCACTGATTCCAGTTGTAAAGAAGTATAATCGGCTTTCAATTGCTTATCGGTACAATGAAAAAATCCGTGATCCGATCGGATTCAACTATGCAAATACTGCTAAACTATATCACTTCATATCAGTATGGAAGATCAATTTCGGCTTCGGAGTTGGCATAACTATCAGACTCCATACAAGGGGGAACAAACTTGTACACTGGTGTAAATCGGTCATCTTACGGATTTACAAGGCAACAGAGACCCATGTGAAGAATACGGATATATAGGATGTCCTGATAACCCTGCAGAACATTAATGGATACATACACGAGAAACTTCGCCCTACCGCATACTCGTGTTTTCTTTCAAACTAGCACATGCATTAAGGTTGCAACGTTCTATTAGCAATACCCGCAAGAGTAACACAAACAAGAAGTCTTTCGACTTACGAAGTTGTTGCACTCAGAAACAAACAATTGGTACCCCGGAACCATTATAAGGGCTACATGCTTAAGCAATATGCATGCTACTTCATTCAATGAATAAATTTTCATGGGATTTTCACTACTGAGGACAGTTGATCGGGATGACAGTAGCGAGATGCTCTACGGGCTATGTAATTGGCCAGTGAAAGCTAGAAACCGACTGAGTATGACTGAATTAACGATGTTAGACAACCAGCTTGATTTGCAAACGATACTTGAGAATAGTGAATCCGACATCGTTGAGCTCAATGAATGGGACGTATCTAGCAGATTCCATTACAATTCGGCAACCAGTACTCTAACAACAAAAGCAACAAAGTGCTAACTACAACCGCATTTGAAGGGCTGTATGCACTTATGACTAAATGCGTGACTGTGACGTGGGTTGGGATCGTGGTTCCAAGAAAAATGCCAGATATAAATTGAATTCGAGACAATTTGAGCTCTTAGTCAGGCATCTGCGAACCCTGATCGAGGAAGACGGAAATATATCAGCCCGAACCGGGAAGAAATCAAGTTATTGACGAATAGTGGAGACTCCGAATTAAAAGCGATTTTTCACAAGAGAACTTTTAAGATGTACTACCGGTATCAAAACACGATCTAAATGCGAAACGGTCCACACCGAATGAAAAATAAGCTGTATTCCAAAAACAAACCGCTTTATTATACAGTCAGCTATCAAAACTTCTGGAAACCCTTTTTGTACTGCGAACCGGGAGCTTTGAACACCTTGATGACGTTGAAGCTGACCGTCTTACTCAACGGTCGGCATTCACCAACAGTGACGGTATCTCCAACGTTTACGTCCCTAAGCAAAATATATCGGTTCAACAAACAGCATACCTGAAGCATGGGGAAAGGTGGACGGACATATTTTTATGCCGTTTCTCATACCGATTGTATTTCTTTACATATTTCAAGTAATCCCGGCGGATAACAATAGTACGGTTCATTTTCGTTTTCCGAACTACTCCATTCAAAATCCGACCGCGGATCCGCACATCGCCGGTGAACGGACATTTTTTGTCGATATAATTTCCGAAGATTGCTTCTTTCGGTGTTTTGTAGCCCAATCCGATAGATTTGTAGTAGCGACCACCTTTCTTTCCTTTCACTTCTTGCTTTTGAAAGGCATTCCCTTTCTAAGATTGAAAGTCAGTTTATCTACAGCAACAAACCTGTTCCGCCATGCCGACCTCAGAAACTAGTTAAATGTGGCGCGGTACGAACCTCAAGGGGAAAAACAAAATTTCAGGTAAATCTGCAGTTAATATTCGGATAAACTAACATATCATACTTTTCAAAAAATAAAACATATTCTGGATGTCAGAAGCTGAAAAACAATCATCTCGAAGTCATTGGCTGGGGAATGATTCATAGCAGACCAATGAAATTACTTGATGGGGTCACTTCGTGTGATGTCATTTTCGTTCTTTAATTTCGCTTCAGTAATGCATAACCTCTCTTGGTATGAGAGTGCTTGTTGTAGAATAATTTTTGCAGCGGTTTACCACAATATCTTGGATTTCATATTATTATTTTCATTGTGAATCCTCAGTGAAATGGGTTGTGCATGGAGCGATCCGGATAAGAACCAGCAGGATACTAGCAAAGCAATAGAGAAGCAGATTCGACAGGATGCAGAAAAAGCTATGAAGGAGGTTAAGCTCCTACTGCTTGGTGCTGGCGAATGTGGGAAGTCTACGGTTCTGAAACAAATGAAGATCATTCATGGCCAAGGATATCAGGAAGAAGAACGAAAGGAATATGTTTGCATAATTTTCGCCAATATAGTGCAATCGATGATAAAAATATTGAAAGCAATGGAATCTCTGGAGATTGTTCCCGACTCTTTTGATCCCGCAGTGGAGCTCAAAAATTTGAATGGGTTCCTCGCAAGTGTTGAAGAGGGCAAGTTCCCGGATGACCTAGCCAATACTATTCGTACTTTGTGGAACTCAGATAGTGTTCAGCGTTGTTTTGCACGTGCAAAGGAATACCAATTGAATGATTCAGCATCTTATTACATGACTAATTTGGATAGGATATCAGCCCCTGGCTACACACCCACTGAGCAAGACGTCTTGCGATCAAGAGTCAAAACTACGGGAATCGTGGAAACGAATTTCCGGTTCAAAGACCTAGATTTTAAGGTCTTTGATGTGGGTAAGAGGATTGAATATGTCGTATTCATTATTTGTACCATTAAAGTTTGTAGTGATATCAGGTTCGATCCCTTTTATAATCTTCTACCTCATAATTTTTGCAAAACTGATGAGGTAATAATATAGATGCATCATTCAAGGCTTTCAATATATGGTGAGTCAGGAGAAATAAGGTATCACATTGACTTATTCATATTTCATTGTACGCCAGTGTATAAAATACTTTCTTAGGAAGAAATTTCAGATCACGATGGGCCCACGTTATACTCACAGACTAGACTCTCAGCACTTTGGTATACAGTTTAGCTTCTCGTAGACTAATTACGGTTCATGGCAGTCGTTCACCTCGTTCCTTAGGTTGTCGGTGATTCCTTTGTCTCCCAACCCTCAGAGTCAATAGCATTTTTCAGTAAGACCTATGCAGGCGACGGCGTACGAGTAAACCGTTTTTTACTGTTTTTCTGGCACTCATCTAGAGTTCAATGTGTCAGTACCCTGTTATACTAGAAAAACCAAAAGAATAAAATAATGGTAAAATACTCAAGTGTAAATGTATTCTTATATGGACGCTGAGAATACACAAAAAAGTCAAAAACGTTCTAGCACGTTACCTGAAGCTCAAGACTGAAGCCGGTCATACCCAAGCCAGACTCATTGTGATGCATCGCAAATTGCATTCCTTTTTGAAATCGTTAGAACTCAGTCCTCTCTTTCCTCACCAAAATTTCAGAATCTTTTTCAATCTATAGGCTGATCTCAGCGCAAAACCAATAAGCAGTTTTCCAGTTTTCCAAGTGCGATTGTCGTGTTTGCCTGGAGGCTTTTGAAGTTACGGTGGTCTTCACTTGGAAGAGGTAACCGCTCTGCGGCAGAACTTTAGATGGGTTAATTCTGTCTCTTACCAAACCTTCATCTGAAACTAGATAGCTTAAGCTCGATATAAATCGGTGAGGAGAAGGAACAGCGAGTTCTTTGAAATCACTCGGAAGATATTCTGTAGAGATATGGGCACAACCCTTAACATTCATTTGGGGCATCCGATTTGTTATCAGATATTCATCCACTAGAATTGGCTTCGTTATACTTTGCATTTGTGATGTACTCTGGTGAGTAGTCGAAGGTTTCTGTACGAGATATGTTGGCTACCATCTGAAATTACCGTGAGGGTCTGAAGTCATATGATATAATGACTCTCATGTTCTTTACTTCCCCCTCTCTTGAGATCAATTCCATTCTGACTGCCAAGTTCAACTCCCGTGATGGGATGCTGGCATTTGGATAGGCTCACAAGATACATTTGTTCCCACCACCATGAAATCATCCACAAACATGAAGCACGGGTTGCCGATTTCCCCTGGTAAGTCGTTCACACATCAGGAACAACCGCGGGCCCAACAGGGAACCATGAGGGACCCCACTAGTACTGATTTTCGGTACCCTTAAGTGCGTACCAACCTTGACCTGGAAAATTCGGTTTGCTAGAAAGCGATTCACACACTCCATTTCCTTTCTCAATATTCCCAGTATTTGCATTTTTGGTAGAACCCCTGATGATTTACGGAGTCGAAGGCTTTGCTCAAGTCCAAATAGCAGACCTCAACATGCTCACCCTTGTCTAAGAGCCGAGTCACTTCATTGAGGTAGGCTAGCAGATATGATTAACAAGACTTCCGCCTAATAAAGCCATTTTGAACGGGTCTTCTTAGCTCTTGCTCCACGAAGTAGGCGGCTATATGCCTACGTACTACCCTTGATAGGCAGTTGCATAAAACCACCGTCAAAATTACTGGTTTGTGGTTTTTGATCTGCTTACACCCAGATTTGTGCAAAGCAACCAACGTCGCTCTCTCTCTCAAACTTCCTTTATTTCTTTATTATCCAGCGATGTCTGAAACGTATTAGTCAGATGCCTTTTATTATCACAGCTAGGGTTTAAACAATAACGGGATAAATGCCATCCTATCCCGCTTCCTTGAACTTGTTCAGAGGGACTAATGAAAAACTTAGACTGGCGTGACAGTTACTCTATTCTGGAATACCTAACGGTAACGGCGTCCGGTAAACTTCCGTATAAGTTCCGAACCGTAATTGCCTTTTCTTCCTCACTGAAGTCGAGTTATCCATCGGAGCTTTCTAACGCGCCCATTCCCTCTCTTTATGCTTTTCGGATTGAACTTAAGCGTAAAGCCTCTTCGGTTTTCGCGTCGGTTGTATCGCAATCGTATAATCATAGTCATACTACTCCTTTTGCTGCATCACCAGGGCATGATTTCTTCCTGCATTGATGTTTGATACGTATCGAGCCTTTTTTGAGTGCCCACATCCGATTCCGTGTAGCGATTTCTCTCTCTCAACATGGTTTTCACCGTTGTCTGAATCTTTTGGGCCTCAAAGGTGCAAACTCCTGTGTGCACCTCAGTAAACCATCTTTTATTGTATGCCATCTCTCTTCAACTGTTGGTTCTGATGTTGACGGCACCCAGCTTATAAGTCTCTTCAAAACTCAGTTCATATAGACCCCCGTACAACCGGACCCCTGGTTTACTGTAGTCCGCCAGTAGCTTTTTATGAATGACCGCATGGTCACTTCTCCCTATGGAAACTTATATCTTGAGACAAACAATAAGTGACCTTGATCCAGATAGGACTATACCCAGGATCAAAACAATATGGCCAAAACCGAACTATGTAGGCTGCCTCGCGTATTACATAAGCATGTGGGAATGAAGCCATTCTGGTATCGTCCAGCCCGTAGCTACTCTGGGTGCTAGTTCATCAACCCAAAATATTTCAGATTTTCTTCACCCATAATAAGTAATATATGGGCCATTCTAAGCACCTTTTGTAAGTTACACAGGAATTCATTCTCCTCTGCTGTGGGTGAGTTAGGAACCCTATAATTGAAAACAATGCCTATAGGTACCAATCCGACTACTACATAGCAAGTAATGACCTGAATGTTGGGAGTAGCCAACTACAGTGGCCCTACTATTGGGAAAATGGCGAGCGCAGCCAGGAGGACTAACCAATTGCCTCCCGTCAACTACACCTTGTTTATATTTAGTGTGCCCTTCTAACCCCAGAACTGCACCTTCACCCCTAAGCCAAGTCTCAATAACGACAATTACATCTGCGTCCGCTGACTTGGTATTAAGCTCCTCCCATTTTCCCCGAAAGCTGCAGGCATTGGTATACCAGTCAGCAATATCGAGGGACTTCAGTCTGATTTTGCACAGGCTGCCTTATGTTGGGGTGCCCTCGGGGTGTAAAACCCGAAAGAGAACTAAGTTTTTACCTTACAGTAAGTGACTTTTGGACCACTTTACATTCCATTTTATGCAATCCTTTTTGATTCTATCATCTTAGACGCTTAAACCGTACTTTGCCCCGTCTTTTGAGGTATCTTTCAATAGTGCACTGAGAGTTTCAGCCTTGCCGTCGGCGTGTTTGCGACAACAGTTGCTCAGTTGACCGATCTCTTAGAACCTTGAGTGTTTGAAAACGGAAGGAAGCGCCTGACCAAGCGGCAAAAGTCAACCAGTGACTACCGAAAGGCAACATCTACACGGAACAGGAGTGGCAGCCATTTAAGGATTATATAACCAGGATCACAGAAAAGTTTGCTCCACTAAGCAGAAGAGGCCGGCCGCCTGGGAGGTAATTGAAGTTAGTTAGGGTCCAAGCAAAGAATTGATGGGCATGGATTAGCCTCCGGAACATGGGTGGACATTGCTATTACCCTCACTGCTTATCAGCAGAAGAACGGACTCTAAGGCTATAGAGGGATTACCAGTGTGAATAGGAAGCCAGGATTGCATTCATTACCAAACAGCACACTAAATTATACCGTAGCTATGTGCAATCTAAGCCCACACCCTGGTTGGTAATTTTGATGCAGCAGACGGGAGTAAATGGACCACGTAGAAGGCTGAAGTTCCGAAGGACGTCTTTGAGCAGATAAACATGAGGGGCGCAGGTAAGCCGTTTCCTGTCTTATCAAGAATCCTCCCTGAACAGCTCATTGCACCGATTGTTATGGAGGTGGAATAAGTGGAAGTAGTGCTGGAGAACTTAACCCAGTATAGGGCCGCCGGGATAGATGCACTGCATACAGCCATACGGCAATCACTAGCGCCCGTCAATTTAGGTGCACTGGCACAGCTTTCAATCACTCATTGGCCTCAGAAACACCGTTGTCGGACTGTGCCACAGGAGAAGCATTGCAAATTCACTAGGGTGGCTCACGGGCATCTGCCTCTAGCCACTGTTTGGTCAGCCTGTCGATAGAGGCATTGAAGTCCTTCAAACCCCTTCTCAGGGGAAGGTTAGTAATATTTCTGAGCCAACAGAAAATCATGGCAGCCCATCTACCAGGATTTGTAAAAAGAAATCATGCTTCATAAACCTCCTACAATTTCTGCATGAGGCCACAGGAAGTTTGGACGGGCGAGACCGAGTCGAAGTATACTACATTGATTTTCGGAAACCCTTTAACTTCGTCAACCACAGAATACTCTTCCACAAAAGGGAAGCCTCCCGGAGCAACCAGCAGGTGGTGAGGTAGATCGAAGTGTACCTACAAGGGTGGAAGTTCCGCGTCAGATTGCAGCAAGAAACTTTTGACTCGGTTGCAGACTGCATTCGGATTCCTCAGGGCTAAAATCATAGGTCTTTTACTGTCTTTGATGCATGTAAATGACGCCAATGAGTTCTTCCCGAGCCCTGGGTTCCTAATCGCGGATGACCTCAAATTAGTAAGCGATCCACCACAAAGGGTGATGCATATGGCACTGAATAGAATCCACCGCTGACCGGACACTTGGGATCTCCCACTCAGTGACAGCAAATGCAGACAAGCTCTGCTGAACTGTGGGACAGAGGCGATGCGTCACCTAGGCGATAGATGAATGGATCTGACTGATTCCACTGAAGCAGTGGAAGACCTAGGTGCGCAGATACACACAACATTCAAACCTTCGGAGCAATGTGCGGCAGCTGCAGCGAAGGCCAAAAGAGCCGTAGTCCAACTCTGCCAAGTGTGAGGCTGCTCTATATTAATGCATGAAAAACTATTGATTCGAAGGGTTGGGAGGCAAAGAAATCACCCAAGAAACGAGATGAACAACCACAGTGAACCGTAATTCGTCTTCAAGAAGCTTGAATTGACATAGAAGTGGTGGGCGTCCACCTCGTAAGCCTACCGTCGAAGGAATCCTGGACGCCCGATTGATCTTTGCCACATCAGTCTTGTGCAATCTGAACGGAACTGAGTTGAACTGCTGCAATTCTGTCACTCTAGAATGCTATTGTATGACGAATTTAGCACACTGTTTTCATGTGAGATCTTCCTATATTAAGCGACAAACAACTGCTCCAAGTAGTTCAGGGAAGGTTCACCAGAACGATAGGTGGGCTTCAGGAGAAGTCATAAAAAGGACGAATGGTGGCTCTCGGTTGTTTCCGCTGTATCACCACCGTCTGAGTGGGGACTTAATTGAGACTTAAAAACTAAAGGGATTTTCATTAGCTGACAAGTCATTGTTTACGCTGAGGCGGGGCGCCTGGCAAACAATCGAGGCTGGTGAGTCTCCGGGGGCTATCCTTCTTTTGATCTCTTTTCTTGAAGGTGCAAAATCCAACACAGAACTTTAGAGTAACCGGGCAGTCGAAGCACTGAAAACCATCAGCTCACAAGTGTAAGAATCTGTACCTCTCCTGGTCAGAGCCTACGGTCCTGTGACCTAACCTGACCAG